ATATATTCATCTAAAGATACTATAAGGAGCTCTTAGTATCATTTCAGAACTTAGCAAAGAGTTTCCAGCAATCTGATTGGTCGAGCGGTTCCTTATATTACGCTATATAAACCGTTCCACGCGGCTTATGTAAAATGTTGAAATAAAATGTTATGATTTCAGAAATTTCTCTGTCGTTCAGCTCTGAAATTATACTAAAACAATTATTCGCCTCAGGTTAGCTCAATGGATAGAGCGCTGGACTGTTGTGCAGGAGGTCGAGGGGTTCGAGCCCCGGCCGGACCGACACTCAAGGTCTTAAAATAATTGAGAAAAATTTGCTACCTTTCTGTAACATCAAGAAATGGTTAGATATTCTAGTCTTCTCGGATAGGGACGAATAAATGGAAGCCCCGTCTCCTGCAGGGTTGGGGTAGGAGACGTAAAGTTCCCACACACGAGATTAATGTGTGATGGATGTCCTCCCCTGGGGTGGGATGGGTGGGAGGGTGGTTTGTATGTTCCTTTCTAGTCCTTCCCCACTGCAAATAATGCAATGAAAATGGAGTAAATTAAATTAATATTGTCGAATAATCCCTCGACTTCGTCTCGAGGATTATTCGACGACATTCACCTCGCCTTAGGCGAATAAGTGTTAAATAGATGCATTTCTTTTTTTTTTCTTCACACAGACCCAAAATATCTATCTTTCCCCCTCCCTTCCAGAATTATCGCTTGGTAAAAGGAAACGGTGAACTTCCCTTGCACCTGGGCCACCTGTGGTCTCTCAGTATTCCGGTCTTTCACTGAAAATGAAAAATAAATATGCGTTATTAACCAAGCTTGTTCGGTCAAGATGGCTGGATATTGGCCGAGTTCTTTTTCCGCATTTTTATGGACCGAGACGAAGTTGAGGTCCATAAAAATGCAAAAAGAGAATGAGGCTAATATGCAGACATCTTGACCGAACAAGCTTGGTTAATAAAGGATTTATTATATTGCAAAAAGATTTCTTTTTTTTTTTAAGAATTAAGAATGACTTGTTCACTTCGAGAACCGGGAAAGAAAGCCAACTATGTTTGTAGCACATCAAACTCACGAGAGTCGTTTCTTTTTTCTTTGTTTGACTATCTTCTTCCACTTTTTGTGGTTCCATCGCCGAAATTGTTTAAGAATTACGAACGTAGTTATAATTCTATTTTTTTTTTTAATGCGTGGGATCAATGCGGGCAATCCCGAGCGGGCAAGATGGGCCCATCTTGCCCGCTTGGGTAGCCAATCAGAACACAGGATTTGCGGCTTCATCTTGCCCACAGGCGCTGCGAGCGATGTAATATAATGGGACTTACTGATGGGACCTGACATACTTGTTTAGTTACTATTGATTAGTCTGTCTGTTAGGGTCTCCGGTGTAGGTGGATTGAAGTCGGTTTGTTTTTTTTATTATTTTTGTTATCTTGCATGAACAAAGAAATAATTCATCAAGAGCGAGTAATCATGATAAAAAAAGACACAAACTCCTCGCAGATAGACGCGTACTTGGCCTGTCTTCAGTCAAATTGAGGAAATAAAAGATGAATTAATGACAAGTTTACCTTTTATTAGTATACCAGATGTAAGGACGGAAAAGGTGTCTAGTTTCTTCTGATTTTCCGGATTCTTCAAATTAGAAAGTTTTTTTTCCAGCTTTTATTTGCGTATTTCTTCACAAAGCGGGAAGTAATAAGGTTGCGATTTGATTCAACTTAACAGTTCTTCAACATTTTTATTAGGAAGTAACCAACGCGTAGCAAACGTGTGAGATAAGCCTAGTTTTACTTTCTCCACTTTCTCACCATACTTTAACTCACTTACGGACATAATGATTTGGCTGCGATTTGTTTGATCTTCTTCGCCTCTGCAATGTTCTGTCAAACTCCTAATTAATATATCATTGCCGGCTTGATGCTGTTGCTTTTTACCCGACAAAATCTTTTAATCCTTTGACTGACCCCTGTTGCTAAAACAAGTCGCATTGACTAAAAAATGTGATTTTTCAGGGAACAATTTCTAACATAAGAAGGAACAAAAACTGTTAGCGCTTTTTCAGTCCTTTCTCTTAAAACTCAATTTAAAGCATTTTCCTTTGTTTCGTCAAAACGTGGTTTAAAAACTTTTTTCTTGTCTGATCTTGTGAGTGATTCGACTAAATTGGACTGATATTTATCGCCGTAAGCTTTCTATCGTATCCGATTTATCGGTAAACCAAGTCAAATCCATTTAACTCGAGTAACATAAAAACGTTAACTGCTTATTTATAAAAATAATTACATTGCGTAAATCTCTTGGCATTGTTTTTGAATATTTGTCTTGCGTAGATATTGCACAGTTCGAGCTCTTTAGCATGGCAAACATTGGACGCAGCGAGCGTAATAAATACTCGTTAAGCGAAAACTCGGCCGGAAATTTGTCTCATTTATTCGCGTGACTGGCATTATTGTCATCAAGAGAGCAAACACAATTTAAATGGACTTATTTCAGCTGCTCCGCGCATTTAACAGTAGGTTACCCCATGTCCAGAGGTGTTTAGTTGCGCAGTTTTGACCTCAGCCATGAATTTGCCTTGGGTTTTCCGCAGCTTGCTAACAGTTGTCACTCTAGCAGGTAATCTTGAAGACCCATCTACTTTTCCACAAATTTGTTATATAATTACTGATTTGATGCAGTGTGAAATCTGTGTTTTACTGTCAGATATTTTTGAAGTACAATCGAACCACATAAAAGAGAATGGCGCTTTAGGATAATTGATAATGAAGATACTAACGTTCGGCCTGGAAATGCGAATCAAATTCTACTAAACTGCTAAGTAGTAAAAATTGTTCTTCTCCGTATCATATCTACAGATAAGTCACCAAAGTCGAGTTGAATAACATGCGCGCTTCAAATTTTTTTCTCCGAGAAAAACCAGGGGCGTTCAGACAGAGTTTTAGCGATGCGCTTTCAAGTTTTTCACCGCCTCGCGAAAAAGAGTTAGTCGGAGTTTCACGAAGTTTAGCTTCACTTCACTGAACCCCCTTGTTCAGGTTCAGTTCAGGCTTTTTAAACAGCTTGATTGCGTAACAACTTCATAAAACTTTTTATGTAGGTAACAAAATATCTGTGAACAAAGTCCGTGACAATTGGTAATTATTCCAGTAGGCCCATATTACTGAATAGCACAGATTGTAAGTTTTACGTAGGTAACAAAAATATCTGTGAGCAAAAACCGTGACAATTTCCAGTTTCTCCAGAAGGCCTTTGTTACTGAACAACACAAATTTGATGTTTCCTTGGGTTTGTTCATCAAACAATACGTGAAAATCGGTGTTGGCTTACAGCTAAACAAATTGCTTCGTATTATAGCTTTACGTAGGTCTTTTCGTCCATTATATACTGCCATTCGTATTAATTGTAGAAAACTGGTTATTCGTTTATTTTTACGACGAAGGCATTTTCCGTGTCTTAATGAGCTATGAATCTGTTGCTTTCCAATTTTTTTTAGCCCACTGGCGTTCGCTAAAGTAGATGATTTGATGACGGTCAAGTCTGCAATTTCGTTATTCTTTCCTCCTCAATCCTTTGTGCCGCAATAAATTGTCGTTGCTTCGAATGCAGAACAGCTTGTGGATAAACGTATATTTTTTTCCTAAAGCATAGTACCCTCTGAGAGAATTTTTCTCCGCCCTTATCCCACTAAACGAGGAAGTCTCATTATTTTTTTTCTCTAGTTAAGTGTAAATAGGAAATGTAAACTTCACTGTCGAGCACGTACGTATTAACTTGAAGGAAATTTCTCTACCAATCCTATCATATTTTCCCCTTCTTCCCAACTTTGACCCCAGAGTCCACGAGTTTTTTCTACCTTTAATTAAAGTGAAAAAAGTTCAGAAAGCACACCTTTCACTGATAAATCAGTTGTCTTTCCATAGTGTCTCTAACTCGTTTAATGACGGAAATACCCGATTTGACTCAACCAATCGATCTAGTTTACATTTCTCTCTCTTTGCCTAATTGACAGTTTTACCTAATGTCACATCGACTGACTTGTTTAACTCGGCGCTTATTAATCTTAATTTTCTTCCGAGCGGAGTGCACTCGCTGTTACTTTTAGAAGAACACGTTTTTGCCTCAAATATTTAATAAAGCTTAAGAGTATATGCACGCATGCGTAGATATGTTTTGGACCCGATTCAGAGTCATTTAAGCCCGAGCAGCTAGGCGAGGGTTAAAATGACTCTCGAGAGGGCCTAAGAACTGTATTACTATTATAATCACTTTGAAGGTCTTTGAGAAAATTAAAACTGAAAAAAAATCGCAAAACAGTCTGGACATTTTGAGGGATCAGGCAGGAAAATGAGATCTCTCGTGCGCCGACTCGAAATGCATCGCTTGTGTCGCAACGTCAATGCACCACAAGAACCTGGTCGCAAGCTACACGTTTGACTGAGTCGCAACTGCTGAAAGGGTAACAAGACTTTGCCAGAAAAAATCACAGAAAAAAAAATTAAGCAACTCAAAATAATCCTTATACTTTTAATCCTTAATTGAAGATTGTTCTTCAGGTAAAGAAGGTGTTGTTACAAGTTTTCTCGTTTTGTTTTTCACTGTTTTTATTCTGCTGAGAAACAATTTTTTAACAATGGAGCCTACGCTCGACTATTTTCAAGAGTCATTTAGTGGACGGCTTGACTTAAAAACCAAATTTCTTCGCTCTTTGAAGCCTAGTTTCGTCTCTTTCGTTCACGCTACTGTTATTTCTTTTTTGTACCATGGGAATAATTTTTTTTACGAATTGATATTTGCCAGGCTTAGGGGTTGAAGAGTTGATCACAAAAGGAAGTATAATCGAGCCTAGATGCTGATCATATAAAACTGTTAAAATACTTAAAAACGATTGACACATGGTTTTCCTTTTTTTCTCTCGCAGCGTGCAGCAAAGGAACCGTCGAAATAGGTCAGTTATCGAAAGTAATGGACTTTACTTGTGGTGTTTTCTCACGTAAAACTCTCAAAATAATTTGATTCTTTTTCAGTCTCTATTAAGTTTTTCAAACACTGTGGAATATTTGCTGAGGGTGGAGGGGGTAAGGCTAATTTGCAATTGGGTTAGCAATCTCGTTCCCACGGTCTCTCGTTTTTCTTTCTCCTCTCGCTCAAGGTTCTGCAGGAAGACGAGAAAACCTGGGAACGAAGTTGTTGTATTAGCATTCCATCCAATTAAGCCGAAGACTGATTACTTCGACTCTATTCGTACGAAAGAAAACTATATGAGCTCCAGCATTATAGTACCTCGAAGCCCTAAGGCTTCGAGACTGCGAGGACTTTAAGAGGGTGATAAAGTTGTAAGACTTTGAAAGGACTTGGAAACGCTTTTAGAAAGGCAATACTTCTTTTTCTTGTAAGGAACTGGTCATGATTTTTCGCTGGAAAGGGGAGGGGAGGGGGGGTTGGAGAATTTTGATTACGTCGCGATAAAATTTACCTGATCTCCCACAAGGCTCCCTCATATTCTCATGATCTTATGATCTCCCATTTTTGACTGTTAATTGGCAATCATTTTTCTCCATAGTCCTCCTGTATCCCCCTTTGGCGACAACTTACTTCCCTACCCCCTACGTTCTCCCTCAGAACCATGTGATCCTCCCCCCAAAAAAATTCTCCCTTCAGGTAAAAAACAATGATTGGTTTCTGAGGATGTCCACTTTATATTATTACATGACTTTGCAGAAAAACGAGTGCGCTTGATTACACCAGACGGTGACATGGGAGGAGGACGCATCGAAGTGTACCACAATGGCCAGTGGGGAACAATTTGTGATAAAAGTTGGTCGGATGACGCGGCTGAAGTGGTTTGCAAGGAACTGGGGTACAGTGGGGCGTTATTCGCGACCAAGAAAGCGTATGAGGGCTCAGAAGGTTCTGGTCCGGTAAGAGGATTTTATACTTATTAATCTCACTTAATTTTATCTTTTTTTTTTTAAGTTCTTAATTTTTATCACAATATCACCAGATTTAGAAGGTACAGTCCGAACTATCTTCTGTCCAAAGCCGCGCGCAATGGTCCCAACCCTCTTGGTCCCAACTCTCTAATGCCTTCTCCGATTATCGTTTGAAGGGAAGAGGTATGGGGAGAGGTATGCTTTACAAACTAATTGTGAGCCATACAAAAAGGCATTCTTAACCAAGATGGCGACTTCCATATTTGGTAAGAAGAACAGCAGCTGTTTGTGGGCCGTGTATAGTGGTTTTACGTAAGCAGCTGGTTACCCTGTTCTTTTTTTTTGTGTGTGTTTTTTTGTTTTTCAAAATGGCGCCGAATAAAATTGAGATTGTTTTTACACATTTGAATTTTGCAATAGTCGAATGACTCTTCGGACTCTAAAAACGCGGTAACAGCTTCTTTTTGATATACAAATTTTAGTTGGGAAGTTAAAATTTCGAAGTTGTCTCGAGCATAATTTCCCTTAACCCTTCAACTCCCGGAAAAGATTGACATGTAACTTCTCCTTACATTATCCATACATTATCCCGCTGACTGGTAATGAGAATACTCAGACTTATCACGTATAATTTATTACCTTGATGTAACACCAAATTCTTGTACTAATTTTCAAGGAAATGTCTAGCAGCTAGAAGGGAGAATTAACAATCAGATCTCGGGAGTTAAAGGGTTAAAACGGATGCAAAACCGCCAGCTACTTTGGTTGCTTATTTCGTAGCTGTAGCTGATTGATGCGCCTGCGATCCAACGCCCACCGCTGACCGGTGTCGTTATCCTGTAGAACCACCTGGGGCTAGGGTTAGAGTCAAGGTTAGTTACGCAGCTAAAAGCAAAATTTATATTTATCCCTTTTCGTTTAATTTTGCAACAGATTCACTTGTCAAATGTGGTGTGCGATGGCTCGGAGCAATCCATTCTTGAATGTAAAAATGACGGCTGGGGAGTGGTCGGTGAATGTACCCACAAAGACGACGCTGGAGTGAGGTGTATTTTGACGGGTATGTTTATCAATCACAAAACATTTTGCCTTCTTAAACTTTTCAATAAGCAGGCTATCGAAAACAAACCATAAAAACAAAAATATCTCAAATGTACATGAATTAATCATGAATCATTTCCTGAGTATAGACAGACCAGCCGTATTTCTAACTGACAGAGTGCAGTGGCGGATCTGGGTAAAGGGCCCGAGGAGGCCTGGGACCCCTCCCCCCTCCCCTTATTTTGGGTAAAAAATAAACGCAGAAGGAAGAAAAGCGGGCAGATGTACACACATACAAATCCCCCTCCCACCCCCTCTTAGCTCAAGGTCTGGTTCCACTACTGGAGTATAGTCGATGAGTTTAATCGGAGCCGTTGAGAAAAAAAAGTAAGTTTCGATACGGCTGGTTTTAGCTAGGGGTCTACAAAATAACACTAAAAACATTCACCGAGCTTTCTTAACAGATGTATTGCCATCCTTATCAAATTCCTCATAACGCAAGTATAGTTTTATTGCAATTCTCAGCAGTTTAATGCCCTTTCTTCCATTGAGTGTCGTTCTTTAAGCCCAAACGCGTCATAACCCCACATGGAACAACGAATTACTGCCTGTATTTTTTAATTGTAGCCAAAATAAAAAATGGGTACCACTTCACGCACTATTCAATTTGAAAGCCTTTTTTCTATTCTTCCTTTTTGGTTTGTATGCTTGATTTTTCGTTAGACGTCCCTGAATTGGTGTATCGCGGCTGCTGGATTGACGACCCAGGAAACAGGATTTTGTCAGACTTGTACGCAAACCATCGGGGAAATATCGACTGGTATAACCTTGGTAAATATGTTATATTGTGTGGAAGAGACGCAATCCGTAGTGGCAAAGACTACAACCTATTTGGGGTACAATATTTTGCCGAGTGCTATTCGCAAGAAGGCAATCCGGACTACAAGAAAATGAAAGCTTCAAAAAAAGGCTGCGCCGACGGTAAGAAAAAGTGTCACTGGCTAAATGATTGTGCGAGCGACTCACCGACTTGCTGACCATGATTTTAATGTGCTGATTGCCTAGCTGACTTAATTAGCAAAACGGACTAGTAATGGCGATATCAATCTTTTTTGAGCACTCGTGTAGCGCCTACAGCTCATCGGCGTCGCTCCAAGAGTTCTCCACGGTGCGCTAACAACAACTTTTTCTACTAACTTTTTTTTTTACTCGCGCGATTAGACCGACTACTTCGAAAAGAAGGGACTGGGACTGTTCGTAGTCTGCCGCACTCCAAAAGGAAGATATTTGTTTGGTTACAAAAAGTGTTAAAAAAAATTGTAATGAAATAGTGACGGTGATAACAACTAGCTGATTATCTTACTAACTGACTAGCCGACTGAGGGGATGACAGACTGACAGACTGACTGACTGACTGACTGACTGACTGACCAACCAGTATGATCGTCCAACGGGGAGGGACTGAGTGTAAGACTCTTAATTGATTGTTGACTCTCGAACTCTCTGATAGGTGTTGGTGAATTGTCGCACAATGCTGTTTATGAATTCGGGCCGTACTTTAATTTGGGTTGCTGGGAAGACAGACCTAGAGAGGGACGGACTATGAAGTGGCTAAAAAATCTTCGCAGGCAAATCGACTGGTATGACATGAGCAAAACAGGTTTGTGTGTGAATGTCACAAAATAGCTTGTGAGTAAATTCCCTGTGGGCAATCGACCCATAATTGCCCCTTCGTCACTTACGTTCACAACTCTCATTCAATTTCGAATTTGCCAATAGCTCCTCCCCCCTCCTTCCCCACACTAGCCTGCTGCGAAAACGTAATTTTTCGAGCGCGCGCATAGTATTTTCTAGGCAATAATTTTTGATAGAGCAGCAATCGCTGATTTTCACGGTAGTGGAAGGCTGGGGAGAAAAAGAAATTTGTATCAATGGGGTGAGTGACGGTCAAAAATGAAAAAGAAAGTAAAGGGGTGGGCCTTCCCCCCCTCCCTCCCCTCACGATCCACTCAAAATTTTAATCAAACATTCCCAGTCGGATTAACGATCGCGAGCTTCTAGCGTAAACTCGCCCTAATAATATATCTGCGCTACAGGTTATCCATACACTCTCTCCTAAGGCCTTCATCAGATGTTTACCTATTGACTGACGGTGTTTTTTCACAGTAAAGAAATGCTACGAATTGGCTAAAGAGGCAGGAAGAACGTACTTTGCGGTGCAGTTCTACGGAGAGTGCTGGGTCTCTGACGATGAGAATTTCAGAAACCACGGTCAGGCCACGAACTGTTGGAAGGGGACTGGGGGGCACTGGGCTCACTACGTTTACAAAATACGCGAATAAGGTGAGATTGTTTAGGGGAATGACTCCCCCTAAAAACATCCAAATTTAGTTGTCTCAAGAGAACATCATTCGAGAAAACCTATCCCCGTGACCCATGATAATTTTTTTATAGTCTAGTTTAAATTTCGCGCCAAGCTGGGAAGTTATTCTCATTTGACGTTATTATACTTACTATGATAACGCGGTTAAGGAGCTCGATGTCAACTATCTTTACAGTTTCCGGTGTTCAAGTTTAAATCAGTTTTTATAAACTGTAACTGCTCATTATCGAAGCATATTTTGTAATGCTTGCCTCACCACTCGATTACTTCCCTGTATTGATTTGTAGGCACACAGATGTATGAATCAACAAAAAAAATCATGCCTAACTGTAGGTTTGACTGGCTTATCATCTGCTATTGTATCATGCAATGTCTTTTAGTTTCTTGCAAACGGCAGGATCGCAAGTCATCTACCGAACTCGAACACTCCACAAATTCATAAAAGTAATGAGCCATAAAGCTGATCCAATTTAGCTAGAGGATAATCAAGTCGGTCTGCCTGCGTAGATTGTATTTGCATAATTATTGCTCTTTTCTTCTTTTTTTTTTTTTTTAAGCACTGCTAGCATGATCAGGAATTCTTTTAGTTTTTTTTTTCTTAAGGGAAAATTATCAGAGTCATGATTTGGTTGGTCTCTAAGATTGATTATTTTCAACTTCGGTCCATGATTCAATATAACTGTGAAATGTTCAGCAGACAACCGTGGACGATACTCCAACTCTTGTACGTTGGATCAGCGATGATCTGATCGGCCCAAAGTAACGAACTGCACCTGAAGAACTGCACCTGAAGAAGGCTGGTTTGGCCAGCCGAAATATAGTGCTCCGTCTTAAAATTTACTTATCTACGTTCTATCGGTCTTGCCTCTATATTTATATTTCATGATTCAATCTATTTTGCCATGACTTAAGAGAAGAACGTTACCGCAAAAACTGAGTCGTTCTTCTTTTAAAGGACTGGGCACACCGGAAGTAAAGATTGCGTCGGTCTCTGGAGGAAACTCTTGCTATAAACGACACAAAAAGGGAAAGTATAAGATCAAGGGCTCTATCACGTAAAACGATACTCAGCCAACATCAATTGATAGTGCAGTTTAATTCCGTACCCAGATTCTACCGTTTAACTGTAATTGGCTTGGCCGTGAAAGGTCTGGGAACGGGTAGGCTTAGCCACAAGTTGTTCGGCAACTTTTCGGCAACTTTCGAGATTTTAGGCAACTTTTTAGAATTTTGGCAACTTTTAGAATTTTCGGCAACTTTGGGCTTTTTGATGTTCTTTGAAGCCACTTTCTTCACGTTTTGAGCCACACTGGTCAGTTTTCGATAGACATTTATTCAATTTATTCTAAAAAAAAATAATTAGGGCCCCCCCATGGGTTGATTTTTGTGATGCCTCATCACGAGGTCAGCGGTATCACGTTGCACGTTTTTCAAGATGGCGGACAATTGCGGCGATTCCAATACATCCAACTCAGATGAATCTTGTCATTCTGATAGACTATTTGTTGATCAAGTGAAATCGAAAGAACTTTTGATATTATCATTGGACTTTGACAGATAAAGTTTTGATAAGAAGCAATGTGCGAATTTTTAATCTTTCACACACGAGAAAGGTACGAAAAGCAGAAAAATTTTGGCAACTTTTCGGCAACCTTTTGGAAACTCAGCAACTTTTCGGCAACTTTTTGAAAAAAATAGCAACTTTTTGGTAACTTTTAGACACTCTTATCAGCAACTTTTTTGGGATTCATCGGCAACTTGTGGATAGGCCGAGGAACGGGACTAAGGGCAGTTACTTCTTAACGTTTTTTGCCTGATAAATATATTAACTCTGTTTTCTTCCACCTCTTACAGGAAACAATGACGCCCGACAATTTCAGTGATAACACTCGATGACGACGACTGAAAATTGAAACGTTGATTTTTTAGTTTACTTTCTGTACTTTCGTATTTGTTTTTTTTTTCCAAACTCGGGGATGACAAACGTGGTAAAAGTTGTATTCTTTTTGACTAAGCTGCAAACTTTACACGATGGTTGTAGTCAATATCAATTAAAACTAGTATAGTGTGAGAGAAATTAAAGGTTCACCCGTAAATGCCTATAAATTTATGTTTCATAGTCGTTTGGTTCTGATTTCGTGGTAATACGTGTCCCTGGCAACCACGTCACAAGCATGTGCTCTCTCTCTTTTCCATCTTATTCCATTGTTCGAGTCAGAAGTTGAATTTGAATCGAAGGACTCAGTACGGTGGGAATAAATGGATCGCTTGCAGTCTACAATCTTGGACAATTTCCATCGGAAAATTCATAAAAACATAATTTTTTGACCTAGGACTTATCATAGCGGCCTCAACGTCCCTGAACCGCACATACCGTTGTTAAGTGTGTTCAGTGGAGCATCGAGCAGCGCAGCACTGCTCGGTGATGAGTGACCAAGCCGCCAAAAAAATAAATAGTCTAAGGCTTTGGACAGAAAATAGTGAGAGGAAGCACTCCAAGTTTCGCTGCTTGTTTTGGCAAGTCCGAGTGAAAATGAATGAAAATTATAAAGAGAGAAGAAGACAAAGTTTTTAATTTTTTTTTACAGAATAACGAATCATTCTGGGAGAGAGTAACACGGACTCCCCCCCCCCCCTAAAAAAAAGGCTTCAACCTATGGCGTTTGCTTTTAGTTTGACTAATTGTGATTCTGATGAGAATATGAGCTGATATGATTTATTATCCATCAAGAAAACGTAAATGAACATAAGCTATTCGGGTTCTCTTCTTATCGCCCTCAAATCGGGCATACCCCGTCGGAAACTGTACCTTAACCCTGTCACCGATACAAATGACACGTATCTTATTTCTTCCCACAGTATCCCCGATCCCCGATGAATCAAACGATAAGGTCATAAGAATAGATGAAATGATCACCAGGATAAGAAGCTCTTGATTGTCAAACAAATTCTCCTCCCCATTTCCAAAAGAAATGTTAAGAGAACAATATGGAGAATCTGCATACTGAGATCTGTATGAGGGAGCGTTGCGTGACGAGCCCAAACAAAGGCTGCGAAGGAGACCAAGGGTTTCTAGCCTCTGGCCTGGGGAGGAAAACGAGTCTCCTAATATAGCGAGGTCACGTGTTAGTCATAAGATGCACTTCGTCAATTCAAGATGGCGGAGAACGGCGAAAAAGCACCTCTTATCAATAAGAAATTTGACGACTCTGATGAAGAATTGACTGGTTGTGGAGCCACAGCGTGCTGTGATCCTAGAAAAGGTGTCCATCGGTATTTTGTCCTTGGGTTGATATGCTTCTTGAGTTTTGGTAAGTTCGGGGTTTGGATTAATATTGCCTTTTTGATTTGTCACGAACGTTCGTGAGTTCCTTCGCTCAATTGATTATTGCAGCATAAAAAAGTACAACAAAACTTCTGACAGATTCTTAATTACAAACTGACTAAATGTTTAAACGTTGCTAGCTGATGAGCAGTCATGAGAACAAAGTCCAAATATTTGGAATGACTCTTAACCCTTGGGCCTCCAAAGCTTTTGCCTTCAGCTCACTTCCGGCGGAGACGAAAATTTTTTCAAGAAACATTTCCTAAATTCTGAAAGACATAAATACGCTCAGATATTTTTAATTTAAGGGAGAAATACAACATACTGCAGGTTTTCTCCAGTAAAACTTATATTCACTTAAACTGTACATGAAAATATTGATTTTTCACTGCTCGTTGCTATTTGTTTCCTTTTCTGGAAGCACCTCTTTGTATGCTACACTAACTTTATGTAAATCTTGTTTCTAATCATTCTTGATGCTGTTTCACAACAGAAATCCGCAGCCTAGGTTTTTTTCCGGGAAATTCTGTGATCTAAGGGTCTTCTCTTAGACAGATCTATAAAACTGAGGGAACTTAAGTCCATATGACACCTATTTTTTTAGCATTAAATTATAGAAGTAGACGTATGTAGAGGGTGTCTGGTAAGATTTGTGGGTGATTCTGATGTGTCTTTGTTATTTTACGAGGCGATAAAAGTCCAAAATTGTATCCAACTTAGGCTCCCCATATCTCTTTGGCCGTGTTAAAGAGTACTGGAACCTGTGACATAACAGTAGTAACACCAAGTTTATCAAAGAAGCAAAGTGAATGTGGAAGCTACTGTTTATTATTCTTTAGCCAAAAAATGCCATTTTGATGTGTAGTTTGGGATTTTTTTAATATCCCTGACTCAATGAAGAATATTTTCTCTCCACAAGATTCCCACTATGACGTCATGGTGCCCAGTCCCTCTTTGCTTGGCCAGACATTTTATCTGCAGATTATAGAGCTTGATAAAAAATTCAGGAAAGGGCAAAATACCACAGATGTTGTGAAAACATGTTTAAGAGTCATATTTTGATAATAGCAAAAAAAAAAAAAAAAAAAAAAAAAATGTCATAGGCACTCTAATTTTCATACCCTTATAAATCTATTCAAGTAATCAAAATAACTGATTATTCACTTTGGTTATTTTCTCTTGTAAGGTGTTGAAAATTGGGTCATCTGTGACAAACTAATTCTGAGTAATGCACTTCTCTCTACTTTTCCATAATAGTAGAATTTGTCCTTATTTACTAGATAACAACCTTGAGGATTTCTGATGATATTAAATATTTTACGTGAAGCATGATTGGGTGATTTTTTTTTCTTATCAATTATGATTTGATCTTTTCTTTATTTTTTAATCATGATTAAAGATGATAAGATCTTTCTTCAAATGTGACTTGTGAATGATGAGCTGAATTAAACAATTAAGTTTACGAATCACTTTGTTTTGCATGATACAATTATCAACCATAAATTGTTTTAAAAATGTACATATTGTGGTTTGGCTTTGGCTAGGCTTCTGATGGAACATGGACTTCATGTGAAGCGATAAAAGCCATGAAACAAACCACTAATACAATAATGTATATTTTATCTGAGATTTATGTCATCTTTTGTTGCTTATGGACTGGTCAAGACTAAAAAAAGGAAAAATACCAATTCATGAATTTAGTTTTTTGATTTTTATGTGAAATGTGACTGTCTCAAATTTTGCATTAACATGAAAGAATTTTGGATATTATATGTGATGCATGAAAAGGCTAAATATTTTTATGTGACTAAGTTTTACTAAGGGGTATAGGGGACCCTCTACTCTTCCCAGGGCTCTTGATAGCGAAGTCAGTTATGCAGGAAGTAAATAAGCCCTGGGTTGACTGCGATTGTTTTACAAAGGTTTCAATAAAAGGAGGTTATCAGTGGTCTACCACCACTTTAAGAAGTGGGCAGATTCTGCTTTTGTTTTTCGCCTTACAGTCCTTTTTTTCAGGGATCTTGCCTATAACATTCATCTGCCACTATGGAAAAAGATATTTTAATCCTTTCACTCCGAAGGTCTCATTGATAATTCTCCATACTGTCTGCTATACAATCCTCATGATGTTGTGTGGAGAATTTGGTATTGGATCCACCAATAATCCTCTCATTGATGTGTTTCTTTATTCTCATCACTTGTCTGCTGGATATTATATTGATATGGTAAAGAGAAATTCTGTATTGGTCAATCATGGAAGTTAAAGGGTCAACCCCTTTTTTCTATAAGTGATATTTGGGCCACCTGAGTGCAGGTTCACAGAAAACATTCTCGGGAATACTTTTACCCAGACTACATGGATCTAAACCATTTATTGTGTTCTCTGTTCTGCTTGTTTTTTTCTTGTAGGAAGTTACTACTGCTATGACAATCCAGCAGCATTAGAGGAAAATATTAAACTGGTAAGCAGATAACATGAGTCAACACGAGACTGCTTCACCTAGTTTTTCTGGCTACAAACATTTCAGTTCTCAATTTGAGACATAGCTGAGAGAACATTTAGTTCTACACCAAGCTGGGTACATCTTGGAGTTGACTTCTCAGGAAGATTTTCCTACACCAAAACCTAAACAAAATTTAATATTATGATACTGGAAAATACAGTTGTAAAAACAAGCAGAGAACTTCCAAAGTATTGAATAGTGCAACAAAAAACTGCGCTATGTTCTAAGCCACCAAGTAGTGTTTGTTGCACAATACAGCATTAAATGTTAAGAACTAATTTTAATTTCCTTTTTTCTTGCAGGACATGAAGGTTTCCACACAGAAATATGTGTTATTATATTCCCTCTATTCATATCCAAACGTGGTGTTGTGTTTCTTTGGTGGATTTCTTCTGGACAGAGTCTTTGGTGTGAGGTAAAATTTTTCTATTTTAATTGCTGATAGGCACCTTCCTATGTAATCTTTTCACTTCAGAGCTCTTTGTCAACAGTTAGAACTCTCCAATTAAGGTGCTCTGAGGACATGCTCTGAATCACTCATGCTTTGCATGATGAGATCTCCAATTTGTGGAGATATGTATGAATTGTCTATTTTCCTTGTTGTACTGTAAGTCTCATTATTAATTAGTTTTTAATTTCTTGTGTTAGGGTTGGCACCATTATTTTCAGTTTATTTGTCCTAAGTGGTCAGGTGAGGGTTTTTTTTTTTTCAGTTTACACTCTTTGATGTAGAATTTGAGATCAGCTTTTCGTTTTAAACCCCTTTAACACCTGAAATTTCATCAGTAATTCTCCTTTATATCTACAGGGCTCAACACTAACGGTAGCCAACTAGCCACAGACTAGTAGAAATTCAGTTTTGGCTAGTGGTTTTCAATTTCCTCAAGCCAGTTTGGCTGGTAAACCAACTGAAATTGTCCCAATGTCTAAGATGTCGCTAGCCACTTGGCTAGTAAGTTGAAAAGCTAGTGTCGAGTCCTCGATCTACCATATAATTCTTATGATGTTAGTTTGAAGAATTTGGTTCTGAATCAATTTATAATCCCCTAATTCATATTTTCCTTCATTCTCCACACTTGTCCACTTACTATTGTGTTCATATTGTAAGGAGAAATCTTGTCTTGGTCACTCATTGGGAGTTATAGGGTGAACACTTCTAATGGCAGTGACCAGAATTATATTCAACTTTCTAGTTGTTATGCTTCCTTTAAAATTTGAAGGTGTAAAAACAGCTGACTATCAGAAAATTTTCAGTATCAATCAAAAATTTAAAGGGCAGTTGTTTGTGTGTCAGTCTTCACCCCTTGCACCTGAACATTAGTCTGTACTTGTGTATTTTTCATTGCTGCTTTCCATACATTTTGGATGGTATTGACAAGGGAATTTATTTCTGGATTGAGTGGTCCAGGTTCAAACCCTGGCCGGAGACATTGTGTTGTGTTCTTGGGCGAGATACTTCACTCTCACATTGGCTCTTTTCACCCAAGCATATAAATGGTGCTGACAAATTTAATGCCGGCAGTAACCTTGCAGTGGACTAGCATTCCATCGGGGGGGGGGGGGGGGGTAGAAATACTCCTAGTCACTTGATGCTACAGAAACTGGATTTGTTAGCAGGCTTTACCTATTCTTCAGAATGGTTTCTAGAGACAAAGCTTGGCTTATTTCATGAATGTATAGTAGTTCAATGACAGAGGTATTTATTGCAGAACAAATTACAGACATGTAGTTTGATGAGATTACTGACACTATACACTGTTTTTCTATAATTTCTATTCTTTCAGATTGTGTTTGCTTTGGGAGCTTACATCCACAGTTTTACTGTGATGGAAGTGGGCAGGTTTATATTTGGGTTAGTACCGTGTATGGTTTTATGATTCCCGGTCTGGCTTTTTAATGAAAATGGGTTATGGAAGTCAAGTGATCAATTATCATTGATTAGTGGCTGGTAGTAAATACTTTGTATTTCAAGGCAAAGTAAGAGAGTTTCCTTTTGCACCAGAAGGACTTGCTTTTTTGATTTGCAAGATCAGGTAGAAGGAAAGCTTCCCTTATCAGACCTTTTAAGTGCAGTCTTATAGACTTTTATATTTATATTATTTTAACTTTTATATGTATACACTCTTTCAGGCTTGGAGGAGAAAATTTGGCAGTGGCCCAGAACACTTACTCTGTCAACTGGTTCAAAGGAAAGGAGTTAAATATGGTATTTGGACTTCAGCTTAGCTTTTCAAGAGTGGTATGTGTTATTGATTCATGTAGCATTTTGCAACTTTTTGATTGCAGTTTTTCTATGCTCAAAGCTAGCAAGTAGCATTTATTTAGTGGCATCCTTAGTATGCTGAAGATTTGGTTATTAAGTAGTTACCAGTACCCCATTTACTTCCAAGATCTCATTGATAATTCTCCTTACTGTCTGTCCTACAATTCTTGTGATGTAAGTACAAAGAATTTGGTATTGGATCAACTGATAATCCAGGGCTCAACACTAAAGGTAGCCCACTAGCCACAGACTAGTAGAAATTCAGTTTTGGCTAGTGGTTTTCAATTTCCACTAGCCAGTTTGGCTAGTAAACAAACTGAAATTGTCATAACATCTACATGGTTCATACAATCTTGAAAAGGTCCTGAATTTTAACAGTAGTCTTGAAAAGTCCTTGAGTTTGGTCAAGTCCTTGAAAAGCACTTGATTTCTTTAGTAGGTCATGAAAAGTCCTTGAAATTTAGCAACTTCTGTGCACCTTATCGCTTTTCTGATAAATTAAACGATTTTGCAAAGGAAAATTTGTCCATTAGTAACTACCAAAAAGCGAAAATGGTCGGTATAAAACGTGAGTGGTACATGAAGCAAAGTTGGATGTGTGCCTCAATTTTATGCACAAGGCTCCAATGTGGGGTAGTCCGCCATGTGCTTTTGTTTTAAGGGGCAACGTAAACATGTAGTGGTTTCGCTATGTTTTGGTTGATGAACTTTTCATTTCCCTTTGTTTTCAATTTAATTGAGCGATCAGGGCAAATGTTTATTCAATCGTAAATGGTTTAGATTTATGAATAAAACTTAGTCCTTGAAAACCATTTTTTGTCTTTGAAAAGTCCTTGAATTTTGTTTTTCTGAAGCGAACCATGCGTCTAAAAACATCTAAGATGTCACTAGCCACTTGGCTAGTAAGTTGAAAAGTTAGAGTTGAGCCCTGATAATCCCTTTTTCCTTATTACTTGTCTGCTTGATAAATGTATATTGTAAGGAGAGATTCTGTCTTGGTCTCTCATGGAAGTTAAAGGGCTTAGCTAGGGCCACAGTGTTGAATTTTGATTTGTTTGGGCCTAAGTGGTACTAGCATGCAACTTGCACAGTACCTCTCCTTGGTATAAAAGGTTATGATTTCTGGAAATTTGGGGGGGGGGGGGAAAGTTGATTTAATTTTTTAACATATAATAACAAAAAAATGTCCTATAATTATACAACAGCCACAAGATGGGTCACTCAACAAAGATAGATGGAGATACCAATTTGTTTTCATTTTAGGGTTACTGTCAACAAAATCTGTCAAAATAGTTTTCAATTTTTTTTTCTTTTATTATTTTGCTCTTTAGTTAGAGAAATCATTGAAGTTTAATTTGTGGGAAGAAAAATACAAAATCTTAAAAAGAATGCGAGATATGACTGAAAGAGTTTTTTAAGGTTTCTGGTGCCAAGTGGTAAAAGGCATAATGATATGAAAGTCTCCAGCAGAATGTTGACATTTTTTGCCAACTTTTGTCTGGGACCTTGATTTTCACATAGTTTACATCACATGTTGCACTGCACAAAAGAGCAGTGAAATAACAGAGTTTATGTTCTTTGGCATAAAATTAATGTGTTTTGGGATTGACTCAGAATCATTTTATTAGGCACTGGTTAAAAAGACCTGTTTGCTTGCTGTTCTTTTCACCGTTCAAATGGCTACCGTTTGGAAGGTTTTCACTTGTGAGGTCACAACTTTTTTATGTGTTATATCTCTTTGTTATTTATGTTTTCTTTTAGGGCAGCACAATTAACATGAATGTAAACAACCCAATCTATAAGTCATTTTCAAATCATATCCATTCATCAGAAAGCTACAAGGCTCTAGGAATGACCTTGTTTGTTGGTGAGTACAAATAATACGTTGTCTCTATATTTAGAGGAAACTATGTCAGTCAAGTTTGAGGAGAATGTTGGGTCTGCATGATTAGGTCTAATAGTTCAGCAACATGTTAATCAATTAAAAATACTTCAAGGGTTGTTGTTTTTTTTTTAATCATGTATAAATTTTAAACTATCACAATGTTGAAATAGTTTGGTGAGGAGTGACAAACACCAGCAGGTTCACAAAACTGAGTTGAAAATGTGAATTGGTCACTGTAAAGAAATTCTAAATCTGATGTTTTGAGCATGTAGTGTTCGGAGAGACGAGAATAGAGTCAATTGCATTATTAACTCAACTAGTTTAATAGCAGATGTACTAACAACAACAACGCACGAGGTGAGTCACGTGCTTAGCATACGTCATGACATTCCTCCCTTCCTTAGGAAAAGTATCAACGAACACTAAATAATAAAACGTCAGAGTTCCTTTGGACAGTCTCAAGCTCACTAAGGAACTTGTTCAATAAGGCACTTAGGCGGTCTTCGGTCACGAACTGGGTAGCGTCTCTCTGGAAAAACAGTCTGGTCACGTCGATCAGACTTCTTGTATGAAACGGCTGCTTCTTGATTTACAAGATCCCTTGGTTGTTCTGGGGCTGGTTTCACCTGCGTGGCACAAGGTTGACTCTGGTTGGGTGTTGGTTCACTATGTGAAGGAACGTGTCCTACTGTGGAGACGGGCGTTTCAGTTGGCCAATATGCTGCTAAAGACTGAGGCACTTTCACATCCCAATCCTCTGATTGATCCTCCTTATGGCGTTGAATCTTCGTTCCTGYGAGGTCTTTCAACTGATCGATATGTCCTTTCCAAAAAAACTCGTTTACCTGTACACGATAAGTCACAGGTCCTAACTTGGCAACTACCACTCCCTTGACCCAAGGATCTTGACTCTTCCTGTAGTCTTGTACCAAGACTGGATCTCCGACACTAAGCTGTCTCTTGGGCACAGTAGGTTGTAACTTGGAGGGTTTAGATACTTTCTTTCGAAGATCTGGTCATAAAAGATCTAGATGTGTCCGTAGTCTTCAGTTCATCAGCAATTTAGCGGGCGTACATCTTGTTGCCGTGTGCGGTGTAGTGCGATAGCTCAATAAGAATGAACAAATCTTCTGTGATATGGTACCAGGCTCACTTTTAGCTGCTTTCATCGCTTGTTTAAAGGTTCTTACTGCTCTCTCCGCTTCGCCGTTAGATGCTGGATGGTATGGCGCGCTGAGGATTTGGGTTTCACATGGTTGTATCTTAGGAAATCTTTAAACTCTTGTGCAATAAATTGAGGGCCATTATCTGAGATAATCTCTTGGGGTAAACCAGGAATAGCAAAGAGTGAGTGTAATCCGTCCACTGTTGCTTGAGCTGTTGTGCTTGACATGGGTATCACTTCGAGCCATTTAGACTTTGCGTCTATGACAACCAAAAAGAAACTACCAAGAAATGGACCACAGTAATTGACATGAACTCGTTGCCAAGGTCGGTGTGGCCGCATCCAGGGATTATCGGAGGTTAGTGGTGCTTTACTGTGCGTTACCTGACAGGTCTCACAGTCTCCAACTAACTGTTCAATATCTGAGTCTAACGCCGGCCACCAAACATGAAGTCTAGCTAATGCTTTCATTCGTACAATTCCAGGGTGATTCAGATGTAACTCTGCTAACACAGTCTCCTAGTGTTTAGCTGGAATCACGACTCTTGTTCCTCTCAAAAGACATCCGTCCTCCACTGTAAACTCATTTCGTTTAGCAAAATAGCTTTTCAAATTGTCTGAAACCTCGGACTTGTCCGGCCATCCATAAAGGGTGAAGGGAATGACTCTTGGTAACACTGGGTCTCGGGCTGCATCTTCTCGAAGCCGTTTAGAATTGATTGGAACTCTAGCAACTTGGATCCTGTTGACGTCTGCGGATTCTTGGTCAATGTGTAAGCCAATGTCTGTTCCTTTACACGGAAGTCTTGATAAGGCGTCTGCATTCTCATTCTGCCTTGATCTGCGGTACTTGATATCATACTGGTGAGCTGAAAGCTGGATTGCCCATCTTTGAATCTGTGATGCAGCTACGGCTGGAATGGCCTTCTTGGAACCAAACAATAACGTTAGGGGCTGATGGTCTGTCAGAAGGGTAAATCTGCGGCCATACAGAAATTGCTGGAATTTGTAAATACCGAAAATGATGGCTAGAGCTTCTTTTTCAATTACAGAATAATTTCGTTCAGATTTGGTTAAAGATCGCGAGGCGTAAGCAATAGGACGCTCAGTTCCATTAGCAGTGATATGTGAAATTACTGCTCCCAGGCCTACTGGTGAAGCATCTACGGCTAACTGAACTTCAAGCTTGGGATTGTAATGAACTAACACTTTTGAAGAAGCCAGAGTATCTTTAAGAGCTTGAAATGATACTTGACACTCCCTATTCCAACACCAGGGTGTGTCCTTCGATAGTAACTGGTTCAAAGGACTGACCAATGTTGACATGTTTGGGATGAATTTGCGATAGTAGTTTACCAAACCTAAAAATGATTGCAATTCTGTTCGGTTCTCAGGTTCACAAACTTCAAGGACTGCTTGAACTTTGGCTGGGGAAGGATGTATACCTTCCCGATCCAACACGAATGCAAAATATTCCACTTTAGGTTGCATAATCGCACACTTAGAAACTTTTTAGTATGCTCCTGATTCTTCAAA